CTATAAAAAAACTTCATTTTATAATTATATGATGAAGATTTTGAAGATTAAGATAGTTTTAGTTTGTTGGTTGTGGGGGGGGGGGAGAGAGAGAGAGAGAGACGTAGGTAGATTTCTGAGAAACCAAGAGAGTATGCAATAAGGATACTAGTACTCACCATCAGCTGCTCTACACCTGGAGACCAGCTCCCACAATACCAGTCCCATTGCATACATGTCTATTCTTAGGAAGGCATCTCTCTGGAAGTTAATTGCTCCCTCTAACACCTCAGGAGCCATGTATCTTCTTGTTCCCACCTGAGATAGAAACAGGAATCAGTTACTAGAACTAAACCCAACGAGGAGATTCCCATAGTTTCAAGCTGTGGTTCTTTAAAACAAAGAGAAAAGAAGGAAGAGGAGGAGAGGAAGAAGTAATAGTAATAGCAACAGTTATTGCTGTTGTTATTACCCTGGTTACAGGTAGTCTTCGAGTTATGACCGTTCAGTGACTGTTCAAAATTAAGAGGGTGCTGAATGAGGGGAACTTACAACTGGTCTGTAAAGTTGCGGCCATCGCAGCATCCTCGTGGTCACTTGATCGCAATCTGTGTGCCCGGGTGTCCAGCTTGCGATTACGACATTGCAGCAAGCCATGGTGACATGATCGCCATTGGCAACTTCCCCTACCAGCTTCCCACAAGCAAAGTCAATGGGGAAGCCAGCAGGAAAGGTTGCAAGTTGCTTCCATAAGTCGCTCCTGCTGCTTTTTCTCCTGAGGAGCCCCACTACGGAGTACCAGTTCCCAAGGAACTGGCAGTCCATAGCACTGCCCGCCTGCCTGTGCTCTGTAGCACCCACCCACAGCACCCCTATGGCCCCTGTTGCACTCCACAGCACCAGCCTGTGGCGCACACACACCCTGTTCCTTGCCTGGGACTCCAGCCTCTTCCTGCTTAACGACCCACATGGTCCTGGGGTTACAAGGGCAACTGGGACTGCTGTTGCTAAGCGAAGTGGTCACATGACATCGTACTTTATGACCGCATTGCTTAGCAATAGAAATTCCGACCCCAATTCCTGTCGTAACATGAGGACTACCTGTGCAGTCAAGCATTTCCACCTTTCAGCTTGAATGCCTTTCTACTAATGAATCTGTTCGCTGAGCAATCCTATTCAAGGCTACAGAAAATTCAATGGGGAAACGTCCCTAAGTGGTTTGTGAGCTGATCAGGCTAAAGGTGGGGCTGATCTCTGCAGAGTGACTTGCTTAGCTGAGCAACACATCACTTGGGTGTCAGGCTGCAAGAGGGAAGGGGCATGTTTCATGATTGAGGCAAAGGCGGGCGAGCCACAATATCAGTCTAATTCTAAAAAACCTCTGCAACAATTAACTTGAAGTGACCTTTCCTTCTCTGCCTTCTACTGAGGGGGATGGAAGACGTGAGATAGAATGAGAGGGCTGCAAGCAGAAGGGACTGGTGGATGGCCCAGGCTACTTTTTTCTCAGGTACTTTCAACAACCTACACCATCTGCATGAATTATCTCCTGTTAAATTATCTCCAAACATGATCTTTTTGGGGGGGGGGTGAAACATATATCACAAGTTATACTTCATCGATTTTGTACTTGTGTGATGTTGTATGCAAATATTTAAGGGATGGACATTGAACTGTGACATAACAATGCACTCTTCATCATTTTGATAAAATCTTGACTTGCTGCTGCCTCCAAAAGAATACAGGTAGTCCTCACTTACCAACCGCTCATTCAGCAACTGTTTATAGTTACAGCAGCACTGAAAAAGGAGATTTACATCCCTGCGGTCACTTGGTCACAATTTGGGTACTTGGCAACCGGCACGCATTTACGATGGTTGCAGTGTCCTGTGGTCACATGACTGCCATTTTTGACCTTCACAGCCAACTTCTGACAAGCAAAGTCAAAGGGGAAGCCGGTAGGAAGTCACAGGTTGCAGTCACATGACATCACACTCAACGACCGTGGGTGATCTGCTTAATGACCACAGCCAGAACTGATGTCATAAGTCGGGCACCATCATGTGACATTTCACTTTACAACTGCATTGCTTAGCGATGGAGTTGCTGGTCCCAACTGGAGTCAGTAAGTGAGGACTTGTAATGGATGGCATGAGTGGGGAAGATTCTGGAATGGAAGTTCAAGGTTGTCAGGAGGGGGGAGAGGCATTCCAGAGCAAGCGCCTCCTCAGCCCGCAACAAGAATGTGGGAAGACGAAGAGGATGAGGCTGGCCCCATCTTAGAGCCTCACTGATTATAGCCACTATATAGTTGCTTTAGCACAGGTTTAGTCTGGCGAGATTCTGCCTATTAGGTGCAAGCTAAGAAAGGAACTGAACTACTGTTGTTCTTGGGCTGAATCTGACAGGACTACCTGTACAGCATTTCTCCACTTGGGGAACGGTTAACAAGCAGAGGGAAGTACGGAAGAATTCATACTAATAAATGGCAGCATAAGGAATAATTTGATCATTTTGTGGTAATTTCACAAAATCTGTGAGCCATTATTCTATCACACTTGGTCTTGCTCCATGTCTTGTTTTTTAACCTTATTTTTTTGTGCCCTTTCCATATTTGCATACATATTTTGTGTGTATGTGTATTTATTTCCTTAAGTTTATATTATGGCAAGCAATATTTGAGTCATTCCTCTTCATTCTTGTATTTTTGCACACATCTTCCCCAGTATAGATATTTTGGTATGGTGATTTTTTTTTAAAGAAAACACATACAGGTACCATACCAAACTCTCAGGAGCTCACCTTATTGCGCTACACAGTATATATAGCTCATAACATTGCAACATTATAGAACCTTGTAATAATTTGGATAGGTTCTCAAAGAACCAGCGTAAATGCAACCACCCCTATACCTCACAATAGACAACAGTTGGGTACACACAACATGCTAAGCTGGGCTAACGTAGGATTGAGTAATCTGTGTTTCAGTGTGCTGTAGAAATCCAGGCATTGTCTTATCATGTTATGTCGACAAGGCCATCATATTAAACCCTAACATGGTTTGTTTGGACACCATGTGTATACGACAATTGTGACTTGTTTGCCAGGGTACAGAACCCAGGCACTATGTGACAATCAAACAGATTTTTCTATCCTCTCCTACCTTCCAAATTAGATACTGCTAAATGAGGTTGCATAAGCTAAGGTCCAGGTTTACCTGTCCATGGGTATCTCCTGGAGGCTTCCCAGGTTCAAATCGTACAGCCAGTCCAAAGTCAGCGAGCACGGCTGTTAAGTCACTCTTCAGCAATACGTTTTTGCTCTTGAAATCTCTACAAGGAAAAAAAGAGGGGGGTATGAGTTTTTAATGTAGCACATAACCAACAACCAAGATAAAATAACTGACATGAGATTTTTGCCACTGACAGCAGCAACAGGTGGATGCAAACCCAATACATGAGAAAGATCACGAAGGGGAAGATCAGTGAGCAAAGCCAGGCCAACATTAAGACACATCATGTGCAATGGCATCTCTCCCTTGTTACTCATACTCTTAATTCCTTAGCCAGCATTTCCTAGAAAGCTGGAAATTCCAGGTGGCTGGAATGCTGCCTTTGATTTTGATCTCTAAGTGAAGTTTCCCTTGCCTGCATTTTTTCCTTGCCTACCTCTTAAATTAAAGCCCTGTACTTATTAAGCTATTCCTGGAGTTTCCAACGTTTTCAATAGGGAGGAGGGAGGAGGGGGAAAACGGGGGTTGAACATAATTAAATTTGCAGACTTCAGGCAGCAGATGGTAGACCCACGTGTGCTTGGCATTATAATTCTCTTGCCATCAGTTCAATTGACGGTGGTATCCCAGCCGGTCAGATCACAGGACAAGCATGGGGCCAAGCAATGTAATTAATGAGGGCAGATTCATTTTTTTTCTGAAATGCTCTGTCAGAATATGTTACGAAGAGAGATACCACAGTGGAGAGAAAGCTTACAAAAGGGTGGAGGGAGAATGCAGTGAATTCCCAGGGTGTACAGTGTCCTGAAGGAAAATTGCCACCCCCTCCTGACCCACGATTTTTTTTTGTTTTTCGAGGAGGGAAAGAAAAGAGAAAGGATAATTCCCAGGCACTGGGTGCACGTTATAGCTGGTAGAAACACTATTGCGGTGCTGTGGGAGAAACAGCTTGAGACCTTTTGCCAGATTAGTCAAACTCTTGACAGCCAAGTACACCCAAAACCAAGATTCTCACAGAGGCTTCCCTATCCAGATTTATTAAAAGGAAAAAGGGATTAGGCTACAGAAATCACAACAACTAAATCCTTTCACTATTCAGACCCAGTTTGAAGCTGTAGCTTTGTTTGTTCTCTTAAGCCTCCGATGACCAAGAGAGCTACCTGTTTTCCAGATAGTGAAAGAATATGTGCAGATATTCTGGGCTTCCAATGTTTTCCAAATCACCTTTCTCTTGCCCAGGCATTGTGAAGACTAACACTATTTCTACAGGCTACCTGTTGGATCAAAAAGCTGGTTAAGGCAAGGGGTGGGCATCCTATGAGAGACCCTGAGCAGCTATTTTGTGGCCCTTGGAATGGTCAGGGCCAATATTTTTCTCTTCCCTTTTCTTCTCTTCAAAAATTTATATGGCCACCCATCTTAAATACAGAACCCTGGGTAGTTCACAACAAACCACAAAAAAATACATTAAAAAAAAACACCTTTAAACACAACCATAATAACATCAGGAAAGGCATCATAACAAACTCCCAATACCATAGTAGGTTCCACAAACATCAGTCCAACATCTGGGGGAAGAGCCAGGTTTTCACAGCCTTTCAGCAAGCCTACTCTTACTTCATTTTACTTTTATTTTGCTTAAAAAAGCCATTCCCCCAAACAGAGCATCCATTTAACCCCTTAAGCCCACCACATGGTTGCTGACTGGAGGGAAGTTGCCCAGCTCTGGGTTGAGAATTAACAGTACCTGCAACTAACTAATCTATTGAACGTGACATTTTTATACTGCCTTTTACCATGTCCTCCCCTTCTCCAAAAATCTAAAAGCCAATTCAATCATAAAAACATATTCACTGTTCAATATAAAATAATAAAATGACCATAAAACTAAATGAAAAAAAATGCAACCACTTTTTAATTATATTTTAAATGGCCAGAAATAGTTTTTTTTTATTATAGCAGTATAAAAATACAACCAACCAACCAATCCTAAAACAAATGGGACTTGCACAAGAAAAGTAACTATCATTACCTTCTTTAATTACAGGACAAATGATAGTGAGACATACTCTCCAGAGGTACTGGGCTACAAGTCCCATATCACAATGCACACACACTCATTTGGGGGATATGGGAGTTGTCATCCAGTGTATCTGAAAATCATTGTGTCGAGGGAGATTGCTCCACATTGTCTGGCCATCAGAGAGCCTGCTTTTCAAAGCATTAGTGCCTGTACCCACCTGTTAGCCTTATGAGGTAGACCAGACAGGAAACGCGACCAGATGAGCTAATTCTACTTTATTGTAAGGTTACATTAACAGAATCTTGCAAATCTGAAAGTACTTCTCTCCCTTTTGTTTCCTCCCATCCCCTTTACAGCCTAGTGAGAGTCTCTTCTGAGCCCCTTGCCCCGCCACATTCTTGCTGTGGGCTAAGCTGCCTTTTATCTGACTGTTCCCTTGATTGCTCTGGTTTCCCAAGGTGATTCCCACATACCATCATATCACTGTATTACCAGACTTTGTTTATTTAAACATCCTCAAAAGTTCTGGATAACAATGATTTGGTCTGCATAAAAAGTTGGGAACTACTGGTACTTGTAACAGTAAGCTAAATTGGCCAAATGTCCAATTCAGAGTTTATAGAACTAACTGTCCTGGAATCATCCATATAAGATTGGGTAAGCATCCTAGAATGTATGGATAACACAGACTTGCTGGTACCGCACGTAGGTTTCACAGCTAGCTGACTGGGTATCTAGAGAGCTGAGCAGGATCAGTCTTGGTTATAGCACCACCTGAGAAGGGCTTAAGGGTAGACTGGGAAGTAAAAAAAGAGAAATACCCTGGAAAAAGATAGTAGCAATTCACTTTTGTATCATGGTAAGAACACTGCATGTCTATATTCATGTAAATCACCTGGAGTTAAGCATGATGACTGGTTTTATATAACTGTTGTGAGATGCCCAGAGTTGTGGTTCTAAGTTGCGTGGCCATACAAGTCTTTCAAATAAATAAACAAACAAACAAATAAGGAATATGATGGTGATGGTATAGAATGAAGAAATATTTCAGTTGTAAAAGAAAACCACTCATTTTTGTTTGGGTGAAAGAACAGGAAAAGTATTTTCATTTGGGGAAACTGTAGTTCCAATGAATGAATGAATGAGTGAATGAATGAATGAACGAACGAACGAACGAACGGAGCTGTTAACTTACAAAAACTGTAACCAGTTCATGTTTGAAATCGATTTATTTATATCTGAAATGAAGTGCCATCAGGGGGCAGTACAGCACCAAAAAGCTAGGATAATTGTTTTCAGTTTCTACCTTAGAAGAACCTTTTCTCAGGTGCATATTGGTTAAATATGTGCAACTCCCATGGAAGCTCCCACATGGCTCAGGATCCTGGAGGAGATGTGAACCCTCCCAATTTTGCTGCACTACAAATCTTAGCAGCCTAGTCCAATGGCCAATATTGGGTAACAGTAAGGGGCACTAGCAGCTATAGTTCAACAACTATATACACCTGTGTTATGTACACACACACACAAACATTAGGCACCACTATCAAGCACTCCTCAAAGCATCATCCTCAAATCATCACCCTCAAAAATCATCACCCTCAATGCATGGGATACATAGCTGCAGGCCTCTGGAGATTACACATGTGGCAAGAAAGACCCTAGAGCTCTCTATCTGGTCTACTGCCTTTCATCATCTTCTGAGTGGTAGATCGCCTCTGAACTAGGGACAGAACTGGACATGACCCCTCAGGGCCTTAGCCTGTTTCTAATGTCCTAAAGGTCAGTGGATTGCTGTTCTCCCTACTTCGAAGGGAAAGCAAAGAATGGCTAGTGCTTGCATAAAACGTCATGATTCCCTTGAGCTGAGTTGAGCTCAACTCCTGGTGACTTCACAAACATGTCCATGCAGTTTTCTTGGCAGCAATAGGGAAGTGATTTGTCATTGTCTTTTCGGGGGAGCTTAATGGGCATATACCTAATAGCGCTCGTGATCCAGAAACAATATACCACTCAGATGGTGGGCAGAAGACCAAAAAAGAGACCTACAAGGTCTTCCTTGCCATCCTAGCCTAGCCTACGTCCTGGGATCTCTTGCGGTCCTTATCCAAGTACTAACCAGGCCCAATCCCACTTAGAGGTTTTGAGATCAACCAAGGATGGCTAAGTGCTGCCACCTGAGCTGGAGCCTGTTTCCATATCTAGCACCTATTTGTAATCTCTCCAGATATTGAACCAGAGTTCCCACACATCTTCACAACTGAGAAGCTGATACAATTGAGAATTCTAGTTTTCCAGCCTTCATGTATGTCAAGTCTCCAACTCAGTGTTTCTCAACATTGGCAACTTGAAGACGTGTAGACTTCAACTTCCAGAATTCCAGAAGGATGGCTGGGGAATTCTGGGACTTGAAGTCCACACATCTTCAAGTTGCCAAGTTGAGAAACACTGCTCCAACTCCCAGAATTTCCAGACAGCATAGCCTTTGGTCACCTTGGCTAAGGATTCTAGGAACCAGGGACCATCTGCTTACAAAACAGCTTACTTGACTTCTGAACAACGGTTTACTTATTTTTCTACTGAACTTATAACTGATCTTTCTGCACTGAAATAAAGCTGAAATGCAGCTAACCAAGGACCACCACAGCAACAATCATAGTCCTCCAATACTGAATTGATGTGACAACCCCAAACAGCTTGTAGACTTCATGCTGTTTGGGAATTATGGGAGTTGCAGTGCAACTCTCCTAGCAAGGGGCAAGAGGTTGGAGTAGGCTGCTTCATGGATACAAACTGTTCAGATTGGAAGAGGGAGTGCTCCATATACCACCTTGAAGAAAGCAGGATGAAAATCTAAAAGTAAATGAACAAACTTTGATTTAGTGCTGCTATTGATTAAAAATGGGACCTACCTGTGTGCTATAGCAGGTTTGTGTCCTTCCCCTTTACACCAAGGAACATCTTCATGCAGATATGAGAGCCCATGCGCCATGGTTTCTGCCACATGGCAGAGTTCATTCCAGCTGATAATGTTCCCCTTCAGATAGTCAGTCAAAGAGCCCTGGGGGGGGGAAACCTAGATGATATCAATGATTCTTATGGACCCTCCCAAATTGTGCCAGTGGGTCTTTATAGTAGCAGGTGTGTTGCATTTACAGTGAGCCCAGTCAAAGTTAAGTATTTTAAGGCTGGAATCTTGAGCATGCTTATCTGGAAGTAAGCCCAAGGGTCACAGCTCCAAAGGTGTGGTTCTGCATGGAACACACACAGGCTGGGCTGCAAGTAACATTCATCTGCAGGAGAGAGTTAAACACAAGCGTAAATATCCTCCAATGGAATCAAGGAGTCTGAAAAGTGATGCCCAATTTGTTTGGCTGTTATTGAGTTTACAGCAAATATAGCTGCAGTGACTTGCCCACTTACTTAGATAGCAGGAGCAGCTCTTCTGAAGATGCCCCTGTTGCCAGAAGCTCAGCTGTTGTGTAGGTGGGAGAGGGCCTTTCCCTGTGTTGCTACTAGGCTATGAAATGCTCTCTGTGGGGAGATGTATTTTGGTTTTTCTGCTGTCAGCAAGGTACCAACATATTCAGTACTTGTTACCTTATCATGGAAAGCTGTGATCAGCCACAATTCTGTCTCCAGGTTTGTTCCTCGCTTCTCTGCTGCAATAAACTGCAGAAGGTTTTCATGCTTCATTCCTGGGGTGCTAAAAATCTCCCTCTCACTTTGCCAGGATTGTTTGTCCTACAAGAAGAGAGATGGTGGAGGGTGAAAAGTGGAGAAACAGATGAATCCATTCAGAGAACAGTAGCATTCCTAGGCATTTGTGATGCTACAGCCATATCGATGTTGTTCTTCATATCCAGCAACAACAAAAAAAGTCCTGGTAGTTTGACAATCTTTGTACTTCCTCTCTTTTCTCTGTCAGCAGAACTACACATGTGCATTCTCTGCCATATTTGCCCGTGCAGATGGAATTAACCATAAACCCATCTGAGTGGGGAATAAACTGCATCAGTTTGCAATTTTAAACACGCTAAGCTTTGCTCAAAGATTAAGTAAGGCGGATGGGTGAACTTGATGATTCTCCCACAAATGATCCATGAACCATTCAGACTGCTAACTAGGACAGATAATCCAATCAACGTGGGGGGGGGGGCTCCTGTATTCCTGATTTTATTTTAATTTTAGAAAATTTGGAAGAAAGGCACAATGGCCTGATTAGATTTGAAATGGGATGATAAATGGTTGGGGTTCCCCTCAGCCCTTTAGTGATCCCCACATCCCTCCCACCCCACATTCCTCTGGAGCAGAGTTTCTCAACCTTAGCAACTTTAAGATATGTGTACTTCAACTCCCAGAATTCCCTAGCTAGCCATGTGGCTGTAGAATTCTGGGAGTTGAAGTCCACATATCTCAAAGTTGCTAAGGTTGAGAAACACTACTCTGGAGGGTAAAAAGGAGATTTTGGGTCTTCTTTGTGACTCGTTGAACAACCCATTTCTATGCCCGAAGGACCAATGGCAGCTACTGCAGGCCAGCCAACCACCAATTTGTATTCCAATGATAGAGTGGCCTGGGATGAATGTAAGCAAACCAGACCTAAGTCACAATTACAGACTCTGATTAAAGCAAACCACACAACTATGGTCTCTAAGTCGTGGTCTGGGTGTAGATGACATCCTAAGACAAACTCCATTATAACTTTGTGTCATGCAAGTATAGTCAATGAATCTAAGATGAAGCCAGGAGCAAGTCTCTCCACTCCATTTGTAGTCAGAGAAAATGGGGAGATCACTCAAACAAAATGTGAAACCAGAAAGGTTGTACATGACCATGGGTGCTTTCTTCTTTCACATAAAGGATGGGAAAATAAATTTGGGAAATAACACTAAATTCCTTCCATTCAAAGAGGCTGTATGTATTTCCACAAACACCATTTTGCTACAAACGATGAAGACGGGCAGGAAAAAAAAAAGATTTTGTTTCCTTCCCATTCCACAGCCACAATTTGAAGTAAGAGCTAAGAAGTAATGTACTGACAATTTGCAAATAACCCTATATACGTAATAGCCTGAGAGTAAATTTCATTGAAGTTAATGGGATTTCTGAGTGGATGTTATAGGGTTGAACAGTAAAGGTTTCTCATAGAGGCAAAGAAAAGACTATATAGATACTTGAATCGGATATAAATTGTTTATATATAATCTTAACAGTTACAGTTTTCTAATCTGGATTAGTTTTAACAATTCCACTAGTGAGACAGAACTAGCATTAGAACAGAAGACACAGAAATCTCCTCCTTGAAACCCACAGTGCCAAACAAACTGGGGAGGATTAAAGACTAAGGCAGTGTGTTTAAGACTTTTCTGAATATTGTTAAACTGTGATTAAAAGTAACTTAGTTTCACCCCACCTGACTCCCTCCAACCATGTTGGGACCACAGTTCCCAGACTCTCTTCTCTCAGAGGGAGGGCATTACAGTTCTGGGTGGACAGGTGGGAGGAAAGCTAGCGACAGTAACTTTATTAAAATCTAGTTCTCAGAAGTCTTTGCCAAGCACTGTAGAGATTAAGCTGGTCCAAAACGAAACATGCATTTCCACATCTGCAGCCATCTTCCAGAAGAAGATGGAAATGAGGACTCTCGAGATACAGGCTGAAAACGTTATTCAGGCAGGAAAAGAGATGCACCCTCTTCCTTTTCTCCATCAATTCCCACAAAATTGGACAGTAGGTGGACTCTCCTACCAGGCCCCAAATGTGTTTGTTCACATAGGCTCTGGTGCTCTGGATGGAAATGAGGACTCTCGAGATACAGGCTGAAAACGTTATTCAGGCAGGAAAAGAGATGCACCCTCTTCCTTTTCTCCATCAATTCCCACAAAATTGGACAGTAGGTGGACTCTCCTACCAGGCCCCAAATGTGTTTGTTCACATAGGCTCTGGTGCTCTGTATTTTTCCTAGCTACTCGGCTCAAACTTTCCACCGTCAACTGGGACAGGGAGCTAAACTAAGTTCCTGGAACCATTAGGAAAAAAAAGCCACATCTCTGTGATTGCTCTTATGTCTCCCCTGCTGAGGAAAGAATGCACTAACGAAGGAGTGGTTATGTGGTTCCTCCTTGGCATTTCATTTTCTGATTTATCTGTACATGAGACTGTGGATTTTAGAAAACAGGAACCAGAAAAGAAGTCTGTGAATGATACAAATAAGTACATTTAAAATAATCTGAGGACTAACACTGGAGTGAAGCAACAAGGAAACAGGTTGTGAATAAAAGAAGCACTGTGTGTGTGTGTGTGCGCGTGCACGCGCCCTTTTGAACATCATCCCCCCTGAAATGAGACCGGCCCCGACCTTGATGGCCTTCTGGAAGAGCCTGAAGACGTGGCTTTGTCACCTGGCCTGGGGATCTGGTGATGTTGGTGGAGAGCCTGCTAACTGCTTGTACTTTTAGGAAAATGAATGGCACTCTCCTGCTGATTATGTTTTTATGTTTTTAATAGTTTTATTTTTTTTTTAATGTTTTTAATGATTTTGCAGGGGGGGTTGTTGATTTGGTATTGTTTCCTGGATTTTTAACTTTGTAAGCTACCCAGAATCATGGTAGTCAGATGGGAGGCTATATAAATTCAATTAATTAATTAATTAATTAATTAATTAATTTAAAAAACCCACACATACAGACATACTTGACAGGTTCCAGTTTACAATGTTTGTTTCCAGGCTACAGAAGCATTATGGGCCAAATTATATCAGATACTTGCAGATGTATCCCCCTCTGAGGCTACAATTTGTGTCAGGTGCTCTTACGGGCATCTGTGGAAGATTGTTTGCCAAAGCAAACAGTGAGATGGGGCTGGATGGACATCCAGATTGCAAGGAGAGTAAGATTGCCATATCTGAGCTGAGCAAACACTAGATGGCAGAAAAGAGACATTAGAAATCTAGCTCTTTGCTGCCATCTAGCTGTTGTCTAACTTTCTGCAGCCCAAACAAGGCAGCCCTAAGTGAAGCATTAACTCCACTCCTACTTCTATTCCTACTGAAATAAGACCTTCTGCTCCACTATGTATTTATTTTTCAAAAGGCTGTCCATGGAATAGTCAATTAAGTGAACAGCAATTCAAAAACATAAACCGTATGTTTTTATGGTTTAATTGTTTTATTGTTTTTAATGTTTTTAATGATTTTTGTTGTTGTTGTTTCTGTGGTTGTCTTTGTATTGCATTTTTTTTGTGTTTTAATTCTGTAAGCTGCCCAGAGTTGCAGCAGTGAGATAGGCAGCTATATAAATTTAAATAAACAAATAAATAAAATTCAACTAAGTTGGCTGTTACGTATTTGACTATTTATTTGTTTAGAAACTTATATGCCACATATATTCTTAAGAGCTCTAGGCAGCTTAAAAAATACAAAAAAACAGTAACTAAAGGCATTATTAAAAACAAGAAATATAAAAGACTAAAACATAAAGCAATATGCACTTAAGATATCAAAACATTAAAACATTTAAAGGCTTGTGTGAATAAGTACATTTTTAGGGCCCACTAACCGTTTCAACTCTAACTGTAGTTGTTTTCATAAGATGGACCTCAGAGTCTTTTCCTAGAGTCTCTGTATACTGGATATATCTTTGTATAAATTTTGATAGCTAAATTTCTCAGTCACAATAATAACATCATTAAAAGCCTAGTTCATATACACTTAGCACTGGTAATGAAACAAATACAGTGAGAATCCTTTTGTCTCCCGCCAGATTTCTATCACTTTCTCTCTGCCGATAATACAAACTGTCAAATAGGGCAACTAAGAATTTAATCTGATCTCTCAGTGACTTCATATTTTGACCTTCTGATCAACATGATTCCAAAGACACCTGCCCCTTCTAAGCATCTTACCTGGTTGTCATTGTTTAAATTTGTATGATGAATGGCTCATTGAACAAGAGACTGAAGCTATACAAAAATCTGTTAAGTAGTAAAACCTGTTTTCTCAGATGAACTAGGAGAGAATAAGATTTCTAAATGATTCCTCTCAATCTGAACGTAATGGAGAGTCTCAGGGTCTTTGCCAAGTGCATTATTTATGTTTAATTATAGCAAGGATGGGCAATCTTTTTGAGATTAATGGCAATGACAACCCATAGATTTAACGATTTCCCTCTTCTTACATTAAAAATTACAATCTTGTGGCAATTTGTGGAAAGGCTTTAGGATATGTCTCCAAGACTTTGGAATCAAGGTGCCTTGGAGTGTGATTTGAAATATTTTATCCCCCACTGTCATGCTTGAAGAAGCTGGCAACATAAATAACATAAATGAGCAATATATAAAATGTTTGCAGATGCACGAAGCCTGAAGCTTACTGCCATTCACTTGTGCATCAGAATGGAGGCTGCCTGCACACTTAATACAATAAATAATGGCTTAGCATGCAGTCCAAAATGGACCCCGAAGCCATTTGGCTATGTCTTGAATCATGCAACTAGGTTGCAGCCTGTGAAACAAGGGAGATCTGGCTTTGTAAAGTGGGGACAAGAGCAGTGAACCTATAAGGGAGGAAAATGGCAACTCAGCCCTGAGGAACTGGAAGTGTGAGAAATAAACTCAAAATAACCCTGCCTTGATTTGTTTGGTATAAGATGGGGCAGAAAGAAACTGACAGCCTTTCAGGTTTGGGTTATCCTACTCTATAGACTTGGCCTACCTTGAAGGCCTAAAACATGGGGCTCTTGGGAAGACTGCTAACCAGAATCCTAGAACAGCTTTACCCTGCTCCAAATGGTATTGGAAAGTAATTCCAATGTATTCCAATGTATCCAAGTAATTCACCTGTATGGGGAAGATTTTCACTGCCACGTAGTCGTTCATCAACTGTGCTTTCCAGACACAGCCAAAACGTCCCCTGGCCTTGATCTCTAACAACTGCAATGGCTTAAGTCCAACCAGTGGAGAAGGAGGTGGAGGTCCTGGGTCCTAGGAAAAAAAGGTAGAGGGTGATATGAATTATATAAAATTGAAGTATTATCATTTCACTAAGCTACAGTGTATGGAGGAATTTATAGCAGGAGTTGCTATTGAACTGGCAGGTGCCATCCCTAACACAAATTGAGAAGATGTCTACAGAACATCTTTTCCTTCCTCAAAAGAGCAGTTTTCAGACAATTCCGTCTGGAGGACTGGACCAGGAGTAGGAAGCCCATGGACTGCATGCTATGTACCTACCCCAGCAAGGATGGGCCATCATTTGCAGCCTAGTTTTTGCTTTGTTTTTACAGACTGTACATCTCTGGTCTACACATTCAAGTTTAAATTCAGTTTATTTTCCATCAGTGGAAGGAGAGAGGGCATTGGGCTCCTTGAACAGATTACTACTTTATCAGAAATCTCTCCCACCTTACATACCTCACTGATATCAACATGTCCATATGGTGGCTTGCGGTGACGATACATCCAGAAAGCCAGCAAGATGGCAATCGAGAGGGCAATGATGGGAAGCAAGGAATAAACCAGAATGTTGAGTAGGGAGGGAGTCGGAGGTGGTGGCTCGTATACCACTGAAAAAGAAAGAAGATAGTGACCTTGCTTAGACCAGACACAAATATTAGACCCACCTTGCTATGTCAGTCTCTAACATTCTGTCTTCAAGGCAAGAAAGAAACTAAGGCCACTTGTGTATCAGGAAACACCATGTATCTATTCCACCTGTCTCCCTGACCCTTCTTTTTTCAGTGTATGTATATGTAAGAAAAAAGCTTGTGGGGAAGCAACACAGAAGGGCTACCAATGGAAAAAGATGACATCTGGATCCCTTGAAGCATTTGGGATGTTGAGCTGTCCCAAGTCACCTCTCAGCATCTGGGAAGCAGAAACAAAACGTTTCTAATAAGTTGGGCAGGGCAAAAAGAGAGACAGAGTGTTTGCGGGAAGGACTGCAGATATTATATTTGTATATCATCAATAAATTGTAGTGTGTGTTATGGGAGCAGATGACAAACAACTGGGTGAAGAAGCAGTGATCTGACATGGAAACATTTCACTGAGAGCCAAAAGGTGGTGATGGGTTCATTTTCCCCTTCAGTTGGTTCCATAATCTGCACACTCTGCCAAAATCACAAGGTTCTGTATTAAAAAGGAAACCACAACTTCTCCAGACTTTTATGGTAGTTTACAAGATAAAGGAAAGGCACTAACATCATAAATTACCAGTTCTTAGATTTGTGGCTATCTTTCTTCAGCAATCTGCTCATGCCTAGAGCTGCTACAATTTCCAACCAACATTTGATATTAAATCCACTATTCACTTCACCATCATCTTACTTAGGAAGAAGTTAGAACCATGTTCTTCACCCTGGTGAAACCACCTTAGGTGACTGCCACATGGCTATGGATTCTTCTCAACTTCCTGAAGTTAAGACCAATGAAGACCAATACAGATTTTTCTCTGGCCAAATCTTTTCCATTTGTGAAACTTTTTTCTCCTCACCATTGTCTCTTCCTATCTTTTACATATTCATTCAGGACCTCACTTCTAGCCCCGGCTTGACTCTTTTTTCTATTTTGTTCCCAGCCTCCCACCAACTCTACACAAGGAAACAAAAGTGTGGGGGGAGGAGATGGCTGCAGAATATGAGTCAACATATGCTCTGGCTTTGTGTTCCTTCACCTCCCTGCCATGATTCATTTGAGTTTGCTTTGTCTGGCTCTAGAATGTAATATGATTTTGATATTGATTTTGGGGGGCGGGAGGTGTCCTAGCATGAATATTTCAACCAACTTGATCTGAATGTTAGTGCTCGCCCCTGTTAATATCTGCTACACTTTTCTTAAGCATCTGTAAGTTCCAAAGGTCTATCTTTTCCCCTACTTTCATGAAGAGCAACTCTTCCCCCAAAATTACAGTGCTTAGCAGCCTATAGTACATTTTTCTCCAAGGAAAAGTCCACTTGAAAGGGGCGGGGGGAGAAAGTAGAGTTTGTGTGCAAATCCCCCAGCCTCATGACATGATCAGACAGGCTCAGGTATCTAATGACTATTACCTTGGAATCTCAGTATTTAACCTTTAGCTTTAATTGTGTTAAAAGAAACTAACAGGAGTATTTAGAAAAGTATATTGTTGCTTTTAAAATGTTATTTTAATCAAAAGATTTTACAGATGCACACACGTATCATTTAACAGACTACAGCAGATTCCAGGATTCTTTGATCTTAGCTAACTTCTGAAAGATGGCCTATTAGGGACCAATATTTTTCATCATGAGCACATTTAGCTGACACATGAAAGCAAAACTGCCAGCATAGTGGCTTAGGCAGGAATGAACAGCCCATTGGTCCACAATGATCCAATCACGTCCACTGACTGTCCCATAAGTGGGCGGAGTTAGCAAACTGTAGTTTTTCTGACGTTAGTTCAAGATGCTTATCGTGTCATGAGAGCAAGAGATTCTGAACAGCAGCATCTGTAACAAGCTGCCGTGACAATGAAATGATGAAACACAGGTCATGACTCTATCACACAAAATATGTGACTTAGCACTTGTGTCATGGAATCTGACACAAGTACTTCAGCCATGTCATTTGCATCATGGCATCACTACGTACGTGTCATCATTTGCCTCCCCTCTTTCCATGTTTCTGGCTTATTCCCCTTACATCAAACTAGACATCAAGCATGTTCACTCTGCTAGTTTATGGAAGAAGTCCGCAGATACTGACTCAGCAGATTGCACCAGCTCACTTGCTCATTACTTAAATGGTCTCAAGAAGTTTGATTCAACTCTTTAATTAATTGTATCTCATCATGATGAAGAGCAGGCAAATGTGTTTGTTCCATAAAAGAAGAACATTATGTTCTATAAATATAGGCAACTTAACTCTTTTCTTGGGTGGGCATTGCATGCCTGATTACTGCATGTCTCCTAGATCACCAATGTCCAACCTCCTGCTATGCCCTTAAAATAATTCTAGGAAACAATGCGACCTGAGCTACCATTAAAGGTGGCCCTAACCTAAAATAGAAACCAACCAACAAACAAACACCACATTTTGTGAAGGAGGAGGAGGAGGAGAGGAGGAGGAGGAGACAAGGACGTTGGATGAACCAAACCATGAAAACGTTGAGCACTCCTTTTCTGTGATTGTGGACCTTTCAACCCATCCCTTCCAACTCAAGCAATGGCCTTCTTGCTAATTCAACTCTTCCCACAAATATTCTGCCTGCCACAATCTACCCCATTATTCTAGGAAAGAAGGGAATTGTTTTGCTTTTGTCTTCTAAAACTGCATCGAAATGTATTTCACCTGGTGCTGGAAAACAACTACATTCTGTTAAAAAAGAAAAGAAAGGTAACTTGCACAATTTTTAAAGTTGTTAATCTAAAACGTCACTCCCCTAAGATTCCACATTCTACTGCCTAGCTAGGAATTCAAGGTTAGCAGGAACTTACTGAACTGGGTTCAAAGATTTATAGTCTTGACAAAACAGAAGACTCTCACCTTCTGGGCCAGTAACTTCAGGTAAGTGAGTGAACTTTTCATTGCAGTAATTCCCCTCACAGCAGCAGAAAAATACTTGAGGACTCTCTTCTGTAGCCACACACTCCTGCCTAAATAAGACAAAGGAAAAGAAGCTCAGCCAGTGAATTCCCGCATTGCCCTCGTAACTGAACTTGCTTCACTGTACAAGCAATTTTTTTTGTGTATTTTGCTGATGCATAGTATCTTTTGTTATAAAAGATTTTAAAGGAACAAAACTTCTAGTGGGAGATCTTAAGAGCTTAAACAAAATTTGCAGAAGGTCAAATTACAGGAAGTAAAGGTATAGTACTAATATAATAGTTATATAGCTACAATATGTTTGTGTTCTAAGAGTATACACCCACACATTATCTCTGCTCTGTGTTTTGAACAAAGGAGAATGAAGTGGCAATAATTTTTCCAGGGCATCACCACCAGCAGTGTCTTTATGTTACAAGGCCACCTGAAAGATTAGTTGCTCCTGGCGTTTTTCTTTACATGTAGAACAGAGAAACAGAGTGGTCAATAAGCAAATGACCCCTTCTTCCACAGGGCCTTACTCAACATGACAACCCTTCATATTTCCATCCAGTATGATTATCAGCTCATCACTATAAACCAGCGTTTTCCAACCTTGACAACTTTAAGAAATGTGGACTTCAACTCCCAGAATTCCCCAGCCAGCCATTCTGGAAGTCTACACATCTTAAAGTGGCCAAAGTTGAGAAACACTGCTATAAACTAATTTTAACTTGTTTCTCCCATTTTCCACGGTTGTTACTAAAATCTACAAACCAATCTCTTATAGGTTGCAAAATAATTTTGTATTTTTTTTCTTTTCATGGAAATCACAAGGATTATGAGTGTCCTTCTTATATGGCAGCCTGACCTGCCCTCTTGGCCAGGCCAGGAGCCAAGTTGATGCAATACGAAAACACAGTTCATGATAAGCAACTGCGGTTTCATCCTATCAAATGCTGCATTCCAGCTTATCATGCAGAAAGCTCTGTAAACTATATCAAGTGAGTTATTGGCACAAATAGCTGTTCGAACTCATGGTTAGTGCCTCACTTGGGAAGAGCACGAACGAGTACCTTGGAGAACAAATGCCCAAGAAGAATTGCTCGAAAGCTAACTATGACAAGAAGCACTTCATCTATGTATCCGGCAGCTCTCTTCTAAATGGAGAACATTTCTTGCAGTTCAGTTTTGTTTCCTTTGCTGTATTCAGCACATCCTTCTCTAACCTAGCAACACTGGTAAGATGCCATCAGGATCCATCACCCCTGCCCCTAATGATACCATCTATGAACCAGAGCTTCATCCACCCAGCACTGGGGACTGCCGCTGTCTCACCACGTGGGCAACCAGGAGTCAGAAGAGCGCTCAACTGCCTGGAGCATCTGATAGGCAGAGGTGCCAGAAAACAGGATCGATCCATGCCAGCAACGCTCTGGCAGAAGGAGTTTGGCTTTGGAACAACTCTCGGTGACATTATATGCCATGAGCCTTGCTATGAAGTACGCCATAGCTAGCTCTGGTTGCATCCTGTTCTTGCTCTGATTCTACCCTGAAAACCTCAACCTTCCTTTAACAATGCACATGGCCTTGCCACATGGACTCTGATTACTGGAAGTAGATTTCCTTCAAAATCAACCTCTACGTATTTTCCTGCTGGCTGGTCAGGCTTAAAATACCTGGCTAATGGAGTCTACCTGAGAGGACCAGGTCAATATTCTGCAATTTCTATATATAATTCAAAACCATTAGCAAATATAATGAAGGCAGGTGGGCAGCCTGCTTCCTGCCCCATGCCTTCAGCAAAAATCTAGACAACAACTGGATGGCAGCGAAGTCATCTGAATTTTTGCAGCCTAGACTTAGTAACTCAGGTGTGAGGAGGGAGAGCACAGGAAGCCTGTACCTGAGCTATGAAAATGTAGATGGCAGCCAAGAAACCCTCTCCTTGTCGCTGCCCTCTAGTGTGTTCGGATTTTCTGCATCCCAGATACAGTATGCCTTAGAGCAATGTTTTTCAACCTGTTGAAAAATGTTGGCTGGGGAATTCTGGGAGCTGAAGTCCACACATCTTAAAGTTGCCAAGGTTGAAAAATACTCCCTTAGAGAAAATAACTTTGAGGTGGCCAAATTTGGGGGGGGGGAGATGGAGTCTTCTGAATGGGAGGGGAAGAAAAAGGAAAACTTTGGGTGACTGAGATCCTTGCAGGACTTAGGGAAGAGGCGAGCGTGCAATCTTCCTCTCCCACCACCCTCAATCACCACTGGCTGAGGCAAGGGCTTGGTACTTGAGTGCTACCTGCTTTGGGGGGACCATCTGAGAAAAGTTTGCCTTGGGGCCCAGAGAACAATACCTATACCTCTGTTCAAACTACAGGTAGTCCTCAACTTACGACCACAATTGGGACCAGAACTTCCATTGCTAAGCAATGCAGTCATTAAGTGAGTTGTGCCCAATTTTATGACTTTTGCTGTGGTTGTTAGGCAAATCACTGCAGTTGTTAAGCAAATCACATGGTCATTAACTGAATCCAGCTTTCCCCATTGACTTTGCTTGTCGGAAGCCCCCCAGGGAGGTCACAAATGATGATCACATGACCCTGGGACGCTGCAACTGTCGTAAATACATGCCAGTTGCCAAGCACCCAAAATTTGATCAAGTGACTGTGGGGATGTTGCGACGGTTGTAAGTGCAAGGACCAGCCATCCCTTTTTTCAGCACCATCATAACTTTGAACGGTCGTTAAACAAATGGTCAAAAGTCAAGGACTACCTATATTAATAAACAACAACAATGAAAGGAGTGATACTCTCAGATCATCCACATATTTCCTTAGATAATCTGCAGACAGACCAGAACAGCTGCCTCTAATTGCCATTCCTCACAAACAGGCAATTTTACCCTGATTTATGTACCAATGTCTATGTTTAGTTTATTCACAGGTAAGAATGGCATTTTAGCTAGATAGGCAAGTGGGCAGGCAAACATGTGGGCAGGTTTCTACCTCTGCTCTCCAGGTGTCCTTCCAAATACCTTGCTTGTGCAACTCTAAAGACTCCACACACTTGCGCAAACAGAAACTTCTTTGCCCATTCCTGACGACTGGAATGCTTGACGGAATCATGGCCTGTTGAACAAAATGCTCCTACCATCGGCCCACTTCAAATGCAATGCCTGATAGGTTCAGACTGCCCAATATATCTGTTTTTCAAACAGCAATGGACATTGTCCCATTCTTGTTGCATATCTAATTTTTTGCTACCATGACTATTACTGTTGTTGCAGTTGTAAACATTTAATAAATTATTGGAGCAAAGAGAAAACAACTGAGTACATTTAAAACGAATGCAGCTGAGAGGTTTCGCTGAAGCCATCAAAAATAAAACCACCGAGGGGGAAAACAGAATGCGGATGTTTGTGTAGACATCCTGAAATGGACAATTAAATGACAACAGTAACTCAGAAGCAGGCCCGCGATTCCACCCATTCAGTCCTCAACCCTAAATTGTTTTTCCCTAGATTGCCACTTTGAATGATTAATTTCTCCTTTTTTGCAGCAAACAAGTCTTGGAAGAGCACACTGTTTGCCACGTACAGGACATTCTACGGAGCGTGCTGGAAATGATGGCGCTTTCATTGTGCAAAAACACCTGGGAGTTCTTTCCTTTCCTGGATTCTACAATTACAAGGAAAAGCAGACAATGTTTGTCCTAACACAGAGACACCGAGTTGAAGGTAGCATGCCCTGTAAAATGAACCCTGGTTTTTCAGCACAGATTACCTTCTTACGGTGGACCAGCACAGATAAATGTATTTCAGTGCTCGGAGGGTGGGGGCCAATAGGGTTGGTGAGGAATGCTGGGAGAGCCCCCCGTTTTTCCTTCTTTGCTCTAGCGCAGCGTCTCTCAACCTTGGCAACTTTAAGAATCCTGGGAGTTGATGTCCACGCATCATGAAGCTGCCAAGGTTGAGAAACACTGTCCTAGCGCAACAATGGGGAACTTCTGGGGCAGAGGGCTACCAAGTGGGTGGAGTGGTATCACACAGGTGGACGTGGCTGACCTTTGTGGGGTTTGTTTAATGCTCAGAGACCTATGCCAGGGCTTACGCTGCAGTTTTCATGTGCTTCCTGCTTCAGACGGGTGGGAAATCATGCCACCAGTTTTCAGTGATCATATTCAGAGGGTGCCTGGCTTCTGCTGGATGAAGAAATTCTGTAATTTCTTCATCTTTCCTCCAGGTCCATTATATCTGAGCATGCCCCCTTGTGGTTTCTTTGCAACTGAGGAATTTTGCCAAAGGAAACACCATAAAACATGATTTTTAAAAAACTTTTTATCAGCATGCGATTGAATCGGATACTTTACCAGCTACTCTTAATGAAAGTCCTATCTCTGTCATTCCTAACCTCGATAAAGATCTTGTACACCATCCAAATTATAGATCTATTTCATTAATGGATGCAGATATCAAAATATTACCTCACATTTATTGCTAATAAGATATTTAACAAGCTTGGAACATCCTGATCAAGTTGCAGATATTGTTAGTTGGCAAGCTGACAATTTCAGGTTATTAGTAAATCTAGTCATTTCAAACACTCCAAACTAGAATTACTTTCATTGGGCTCAAGAAGGATTTGATAAAATGCATTAGCAACATCTAATAAAAAAGTATTTTCCTCACTCACATTTAAAATAGATTGCAATTTTTAATACTCTTCTAAAAACATTTTCTAACTCCTTTTTATTAGGGAGAAACATAGGACAGTTGTTCTCACTCTTTTTTTTACTGTTTGATTGGCGCTTAGTAACTAGCATCAGGGATTAGGTAGAAGAGTGACATGCATAAAGTGGTCCAATTTGCAGATGATATATTGCTATTTATTGATGAATCTGAATCTTCCATACCAAAATTAATTGATCGCTTGACCTGGAAATCAATTTTCCAACAATGTAAGAGCACGTTATGGAACAAATATGTCCATGTAACACCACCACTACTTTGTGAGTTGCACTGGCTCTTAGTAAGCTTTCAAGAGCAATACTTGAAGGAACATCTGTCCCCAGTTGCTTCTACCTGTTCGATCCGATTCGGCAGCACATGAATGCTTCAGGTCCCGTCGGCTGAGGAACGCCGGTTGGTGGGGCCTAGAAGATGTGCCTTTTCTGCTGTAGCACCCACACCATGGACCATTCTCCCTCCAAAGATCAGGATGGCCCCGACTCTGCTGGCCTTCCGTAAGTCCTTAAAGACCTGGCTCTGTGCCCAGGCCTGGGGCCCTGAGTGTGTGCAGGGGACTCATTTCTTGGTTATATTCTCAGCTATGTATTTAAAATTTTGTATTTATTGTACTCCTAGCAACCAGATAGAGATAGATCGATAGACCTACAGTATGTGGTCCCTAGGAGTCGAAAACAACTTGATGGCATGTAAACGATCAATTTATTGTAATTATTTTTATTTTTAATTTTATTCACCACCCAGTCACTTGTTGAGATGGGTGGTCATAGAAATTGAATGGGATGGATGGATGGATGGATGGATGGATGGATGGATGGATGGATGAATAAAGGTAGATGCTGGTTGTCATGGCACAGGGCCTGTCTTACAGTTATTTCTGCCAGTCCTACAAGATCTGACCAAGGTGGGCACACTCCAGTTCCTTTTTATTAAACAGCACCTCCTAATGGGACCCAGGATGCATGCCTTCTCTGTTGCTATGTCTGTCCTGCAGAACAGCCTCCCCTGGGATCCAGATGGCTCTGACCCTGCCAGCCTGTCACAAGGTGTTGAAGACCTGGTTTTCCCCTTGGGCATTGGGCCAGGGGGTCACGTGAACCCACTCTTAAGGGGTTCTTTCAATTGAGTACGTATGTGTGGTTTTGCAGGTGGCCTGTTTTAATTGTAGTTTTGAGGATTTTTTATCTGTCACTTCTAATTAGATGTTAATTGCGCAATAGGAACTTATCCCCAAAGCCATGCTAAATTAACACTATGTGGAATCCAAAACCTAAAAATAGCCAGGCAATCATTTTGGGGGAATGTGGGTGAAATGTTGAATGTTGCTCTTAGATCACTTAATAGGATCAAATTATAATTATGTTAGTACTCGATGAACTGCAATATGTATTTATTTATTTAGTCATTCATCCATCCATTAAAACTGTAAGGCTACCTGACTCCATAGCAACTCTGATTGGCATACAATTTTAAAAACAATTAATGTACTCATTATTTGCTAAAAAATACAATAACTTCAGTTAATACATCTTTTGATGCCTGAATATTGGCTGGAAATACTATGTATTTCATCATCTTCTTTAGTTTTAGATGTAACCTGGTTTTACAAAATAATAAGCCTATAGTATCTATTTATAAACTGTTCTTGGATTACATAAAAATGGACGTTCAAGAGCACAGAAAAGCATACAATAAAGAGTTGTGTTTCGTTTCTTTCTCTCTTTGGGCTTTGTTTTTTACTATGTCTAAAAAGTTAAAGTTGCAAGGACAGCAGAAAGAGGATTTGGGAGCCACAAACAGCAAAACAGTCACGCTTTCTAATTACACAGCAATTAACCTTTATCATATCACATATAGGGAAAAAATAACTGGAAAGAGATGGAGGCCAGCAAACAGGATCTGATATAATACAAGAAAGGACACAGGATACTTTCTGGTTAGAGGTCCATATATAGTTTTGTTTGAATTGAATTCACAAGTTTGGTTTTGTTTTTCAAATTACTTGTAGTTTTAAAAGAATCAATAACTGTATTATGTAAAAATAATATTTTATAATGTGGAATTGCTTTTAGAAGAGAAAACCTCAAACAAGAATAGCAATGAGAAAAGCTGGTTTTAGATTCTTAGTCATCACAATATAATACTATTTATAGAAACACTTAATATAGAGTAGATATCATATAAGCTAAAACCCACAATTTCCTACCTGCGGGATCAGACTTGACAGAAGTGTTTTTCAAATTTAGCAACTTTAATATGCGTAGACTTCAGCTCCCAGAATTCCTCAGCTAGCATGCTGGGGAACCATGAGATTTGAGTCCCATCTCAGCCATGAAACCATCTGGGTGACTTTGGGCCAGTCACTCTCTCTCACCCCGAGGAAGGACGCAATGGCAAACCACTTCTGAAAAATCTTGCCAAGAAAACTGCAGGGGCTAGTCCAGGCAGTTTCCAGGAGTCAAAAACATGACTTGAAGGCACAAAAAAGAAAAAAACCAAAAAACAGGTTAAAAACCATCTTCCTCTGTTGGTCTACAAAATTTGGATAGAAGCAAGGAGAGGAGAAGAATAGGAAAAGGTTAACGGATCTGTAGCTGCAAGAGTGCCGATGGTATTAACCAGAGAAATCCAATTTCAGGGGGGGAAAAAAAGAAGAAAATCTTGGGTAGAAAAGGATGGTATAGAAATGGTGCCTGCGAGAAACCAATTTAGAAGCTGAAAATGCAAAGAAATGACAAGGAACAGAAACTAAATGTTCAGAAAGAGCCTGGGTTAAGAGCAGCAGCTCATGGAAATGACACAGAAACCGGAAATAAACCTTAATCTAAGTTTTAAAAACTGCAGAAAAAGCAAGACGAGTCCCAAAGCCCACCTGTGAACAGAGAGACCCTCTGGCTTCATATGTTAAACGTCAGCGATCTAATCAGATCTAATCTAATCTATCAGCAGCAGTGTTGTTGCCATTCACTCTCCAATCTTTGTTCTGTTCTTTTCTTTGTCAATATACAAGTATTTGAGAAGTAATAAGCAGCTAGTCGCCACCCGCATCCCAGTATACCCTCCAATGGATGAAATGGGGAAACACTGCATGCAGGGGGGCATCTGTGCCAAACAGACTTGTGAAGGAAAATCTCAGTAAGAGACTTCTTAAGTGATTCTTATAAGCTATAATCTTAGATGTAGCTGGAGGTAAGGCCCCCTGAATTCAATGGGATTTCCTTCTGAGCAGACATGTAAGATATGCTGGAAAAGTCTGCTGGAATACAACCAGATAACTGGGATGTAACCAGTTCCAAAGAAAATTGGAATACAACAGATGGACTAATGATGTGGAACTTGCAAATTGCATTTTATCCAAAAGTAGCCACATGCATACTTTCTATGAATTGTTCATATTTCAGCAAAGGAAAAAAACCAATCGTCATCAGAATTTCTCTGTATATTTAAAAAGGCAGGAACAGTTATTTAACCAAGCGTCAATCAGTTCTAACCTTGGAAGACCTGAATTACCAGGTTATGGACAGATCGTCATGGAGAAAATCGATGTGGTCACTAAAAGTTGAAAACTACTTGATGGCATATAATCAATCAATCAATCAATTCAACCAATCAAATCTACCATTTGTTTCAAAATGTGCTTTATGAAGGACAGAAAGAGGAAAAACTTTTGAAGGAAGTAAAAAACAATAGAAACTATGAACAGAACT